AAAAAAAAAAAAAAAAATGAGTTGTAACACAACATATGGCAGAAGCGGCTTATGGTAAAGGGTTAGTTCTTAGGGAGAAGTATTCCTGAGTTCAAATCCTGGGCCTGCTATGTTATTCTGGGCAAGTTAGTTCATCACTGAATCTCTAAATGTAAGGTGATGATAATACCTATCTCATAGCATTGCTTGGAAGATTGTAATAACCTAATGAACGTAAAGTCACTGGCATGTAATTTCTACTTAGTAAGTTTTTTATTTGCATCCATCATGAGGCTTTCCACAGAGAAAACTTTATGACAAATAATATGCTTGTCATAAACAGTAACCTAAGCATAGTTTTTTAATTTAGAGTTTGAAGGATTTTTAAACTTTCAAAGATTTTTAGAGTTTAGGGTTTTCTTATATGTTAAGTTTCAAAGAACATTTTTATTAACCTTCCTCAGAAGTTAAAGTAACAAGTATTTTTATTCTTAATAAAATATCAAGTTAAAATGATGTTCTCATACTTTTACCATTATATCAAATGAACTCTCTTGAAACTTAGATAATAGACAATATTTTTCTATAAATCATTTTTAAAAGTAGGTCGAGTATCAAAATTTACTTTTATCTGCTCTTTCTCTGCAATTTTAGTAGTAACCTGAATCTGAATTGTGTAATTCAGTGGCCATAACTTTTCATGGGCAAGCCAGTTATAAGACCTTTATGATATTTCATTCAAATTTTACCCTTTCCTAATAATCCAGAGATTTCTTTAATGAAAATAACCAATTTCTAGACAAGTTAGTTGTTTTGCCAATTGGAAGCCCTTTATAAACCTTAAAAATTTCATCTAATGGTTGAGTAGTGCCCATTTTGTCTGTAAATTAACACTCACTTATGAATGAATATAGATGTAAATCTATAATAATAATACCTCATGGTTGCACACATAGCATTTTACAATTTATGAAGTTTTTCCCCACACATGAACTACAGCAACCTTGTTAGATAAACTGATATTGTTATCCTTACTTGATAGGTTTAGAAATCGAAGTCCAGAGGGCTAAGTGACATGTCATACATTACACTCTTAATTCTGTTTCCAAGTCCAGTGCTCTTTTCATATCATCGTAACAGCTCTATTCCCACGCACAAAAAAGATTGAGAAATACGGTGCCATTAAACTCACGTATTTTATTAGCAGAAGAAGCCTGGAGCTACCCTTTAAGTCAGAGATTTGGTTTAGGACTTTGTTTAATATGAGTTACTAATTTAATACCTTGTGTTGGTATATTAGAAGCTTTGAGTTAATAGAGCTGCTCAAAGAGAAAAATCTGAGATGTAATAGACAGTGAAAGGAAAAAAAAATGTAGAAATAGTAGAATTGCCAATGTTAAGCCAAAATATCCTATATACCTCAAAGATCCTACAGGTATCACTGTATTGTAGTAGAGTACTAAAATTAATAATTGTATTAAAAAAAAGGTAAATCCTATATAGTGCATTCAGTGTAAGATATATAAACTGTATAATATGTTTTAGGAAGATTTATATTACAATAGTTAATATTGAAGAAGGTTCTTAAAGGGGTTAGTTCAATCTGTCTACTTCTCATATTTCTTTTTTGCAAGATTTGTCTGTTTACTGGTTTTTAAAGAAGTAAATTTTTAAAAATACAATATTGAAAAAAATGATCAAATGGTAAATTATTATTTTATTTTAGGTTTTGTTTACAGAGGAAGATGTGAAATTCTACCTTGCAGAATTAGCCCTTGCTTTGGATCATCTGCACCGATTAGGAATTGTGTATAGAGACCTGAAGCCAGAAAAGTACAGTTGTATTCTCCTTATATATCCCTATTACCAGTGTTATATAATGACTTTTTTGTCCATTAAGTCTTTTATTTTAAAGATTATATGAAAAAATATATATGAATTTTACAATTATATGAAACATACAAAAAGTAATCTTCATAACATACCCATTGATTTTTCAAATAATCATTTAATTTGTTCCAGTATTTCAAATAGATACCTATTTTAATATTGTGATGATTTTTTATGAAATGTTTTATATAACCTATTTTATTCCATCTTATTGAATGTGAATTTTGATTTACAGCATTTTGCTTGATGAAATAGGACATATCAAGTTAACAGGTATGCAAATTTCCTTATTCTACCTTAAGCTTGTTTTATATTTTTCATTATTTTAATATTTATTTATCTAAGCCTGTTTTCTTTTTTCTTCTTTCTTGATTTAATTTGCATATTATTTGTCTCATTTGTGTACTAAAATTCATTTAAAGGGTACATAAGATAGCTCTCAATATGTTTTAATTATAAAACCAAATAATTATACAATAAAGTTGCTGTCCTAATTCAGAAATGGCATTTGGTTTTCTAGGTAAAAACACATAATCTTAGTTTCAGTCTAGAATGAAAGGTTATCGTAAGTAGTTATCACATTTGAAATACAGTGAATTATAAACTTTTAAACCAAGTGTTTATAATCAAAGATTAATTTTGTTCTTTATTTGCAAAACATGTTTTATTTTATATTGAGGGTTTATACACTGTGCTAATCCTCACAGGCTTCATAGACACAAAGTATACTCATTATACCATTTAAAAAAACATTTTATTTTGAAATAACTATCGATTTACAGTAAGTTGCAAAAATAGTACTGAGAGGTCCTGTGCACCCATAACCCAGCTTCTCTCAATGGTGACATCTTATAAAGCTGCATTTCATTATTAAACCCAGGAAACTGGTACATTAAAGTAACTAGAGTATATAATTTACTTGGATTTTACTAGTTTTCGCATACATTTGTTTTTGTTCATCTGTGTATAATCCTATGACTTATAAAAAAAAATCTTTATTGATTTCAGAGAGAGGAAAGGAGAGGGAGAGAGGGAGAGAGAGATAGAAACATCAATGATGAGAGAGCCATCATTGATCGGCTGCCTCCTGAATGCCCCTGACTGGGAATCTAGCCTGCAACCTGGGCATGGGCCCTGACCGGGAATCAAACCTCGACCTCTTGGATCCTAGGTCGATACTCAACCACTGAGCCACGCCTGGCCAGACATTCTAGGACATTTTATCACATATACAGAGTTCAATACCACCAGGAGAATCAATATGCAAAACTGTCCTATAGCCTGGCCAGGCATGGCTCAGCGGTTGAGCATCGACCTAGGACCCAGGCAATCGGGGTTTGATTCCCGGTCAGGGCCCATGCCCAGGTTGCAGGCTTGATCAATGACTCTCTCATCATTGATGTTTCTATCTCTCTTTTTCCCTCTCTGAAATCAGTAAAGATATATTAAAAAAACAACACTGTCCTACAAACACAAAAGAACTCTATTGTGCTGTCCGTTTATTGTCAAACCCTCCCTCCCTCTTCCCTGACTCCTGGAAACCAATGATCTGTTCTACATGTCTAATTTTGTTATTTTGAGAATATGATATAAATAGAATCATAAATAGTAGTCATATTTCTGGGCATTTGTCCTAAAGGAATAAAACCTTATGTGCACACAAAAACCTACACATGAATTTTCATAGCAGCTCTATTTGTAATAGCACAAGAACTGAATATGTCCTAAATGTCCTTTAAAGAGCGAATGAATAAACAAACTGATACATCCATGCAATGGAATACTACTACCCCACTATAAAAAGAAAAGAATTCGTGATATATACAACAACTTGGATGAATTCTGGGCATTTTGCTGAGTGAGCCAATCTCAAAAGGTTACTTATGTTTTAAATAGAGACTCAATTCTGTATTTAATTATCAGAATGTAAAAACAGATAAAATGAAGATGTGATCTTTACAGTGAATTTTGGACTGGTACACTTTAAAGGTAAGTTGTTTTAAAATTCCTAAGTATACTGCTTCATTGTAAAGATAAAGTATGAAGATGTTAACTTGAAAACTCAAGGAAATGCACTCAAATAAAGTTTAGTGCATCTTATTGATTCATAGCCTCATTCTCTTATTCATATTTAAAAGGATTGAAAGGAAAAGGAAAGAAAAAATATGAAAGATTAGAGTTTTGAGATTTTATAAAATATAGAATTTTTATTTTGTAGTATGCAAATTTTAGTTGAAAAGCTAATTATAATTTGGTTCTTTTCATTTTTTGTTACTAAATTATACCTGTTTGTCAGGGATGAGAAAGAAAGGTGGAAAAGAGTAGAATAAATCATACCTATATCTCTCTTCTACATTAAGGTTAATTGGGTGAATAATTATTGCAAATTATTTTATATTTAGTCTTATAAAAGGAATTCTGCTTTTACACCTTTTGGACTTAAACTAGATGAAGAGGGAAGATTAGGTAGAGTCAATTATTTTTTAAAATATAACTTTATTGATTTCAGAGAGAGGAAAGGAGAGGGAGAGAGAGAGATAGAAACATCAATGATGAGAGTCATTGATCTACCCACAACCTGGGCATGTGCCCTGACCGGGAATCAAACCCCGATCTCCTGGATCCCAGGTCAACGCTCAACCGCTGAGCCACGCCCGGCCGGGCAGGTAGAGTCCATTTTAATTTATAAATAAGGGACTCAAGGCTTTTAACAGGAAGAAATTGAATTTATTAGTGTGATATTGGTTAAAACCATACAGGCTTCAAGTGTAAACTCAGCAAAACATCATCTACACACTGCATTGTACACCTGTCGCCCAAAGTGAAGTCTCTTTCTGTTTCCATTTATACCCCCTTTCCCTCTGTTACCTCCCCTCACTCCCCTTTCTCTCTGTCTATCACATGCTGTTGTCTGAGTGCGTGTGAGATTGCATATATAATTTTTTGCTTAATCCCTTCACCTTTTTTCACCCAGCCAACCCTCTCCCCCTGACAACTGTTAATTTATTCTATGTATATATGCTTCTGTTTCTATTTTGTTTGTTAGTTCATTTTATTCATTAGATTCCACATATAAGTGAACTCATTTGATATTTGTCTTTCTATGACTGGCTTATTTTAGTTAGCATAATAATCTACAGGCCTATCTATGCTGTCCCAAAATGTAAGAGTCCCTTCTTTTTTATGGTTAAGTAGAATTCCATAGTGTAAATGTACCATAGCTTTTTTATCCACTCATTTACGGATGGACACTTGGGCTATTTCCAAATCTTGGCTATTGTAAATAACACTGCAGTGAACTAGGGGCACAAATATTCTTTCAAATAAGGGTCTCCAGTTTCTACAGATATCCCAGAAGTGGAATTACTGGATCAAAAGGCAGTTCTATTTTTAACTTTTTGAGGAAACTCTATACTGTTTTCCATAATGGCTGCACCAGTTTGCATTCCTACCAGCACTTTTCTCTACATCCTCACCAGCACTTGTTATTTGTTGATTTATTTATGATAGCCAATTTGAACAGCGTGAAGTGATATCTCATTGTGTTTTTAATTTGTATCTCTCTGATGATTAGTTACCTTTAACATCTTTTCATATGTCTATTGGCCATCTGTATGTCATCTTGGGAGAAAAGTATATTTAGATCTTTTGCCCAAAAGATTTTAATGGGATTGTTTGTTTTTTTATGTTGAGTTTTATAAGTTATTTATATATTTTGGATATTAACCACTTATCTGATGTATCATTTGTGTACATGATCCCCCATTCAGTATGTTACCTTTTAATATTTTAAATAAATTATTAAGATATATTTTATTTCTAAATAGGGTAGAATGTTTAATAGCATTATGGGTTGAGAAGTTAGACGTTCTTTAACTGACAGCTCTCTTCCCCAGCCCATCACTGTTGATTTTCAAGTTACCTTTTCGTTCTTTTTCTTTAAATTGAATTTATTGAGGTGACACTGGTTAACAAAATTATACAGATTTCAGGTGCACAATTATACCACTCTTCATCTGTTCACTGTTTTGTGTGGTCACCACCCCACGTCAAGTCTCCATCCATCAACTTTTATTCTCCCTATATTCTCCTCCACCTCCTCCCTCCTCACCTCCCCCTGGCAATCACCACACTGTTTTTGATGGTTTCATTTGCTGTGCAAAAGCTTTTTAGTTTAATGTAGTCTCATTTCTTTATTTTATTTTTGTTTCCCTTACCCTAGGAGATATACCTGCAAAAATAGTGCTTTGAGAAATATCTGAAATTTTACTGCCTGTTTCTTCTAGGATTGTTATGGTTTTGTGACTTATATTTAAGTCTTTTATCCATTTTGAGTTTATTCTTGTGTATGGCCTAAGTTAGTGGTCTAGTTTCATTATTTTGCATGTAGCTGTCCTATTTTCCCAACAACATATATGGAAGAGACTGTCTTTACCCCATTGTATGCTCTTACTTCCTTTGTCAAATATTAATTGACCATAAAGTTCAATTTCTGGGCTCTGTATTCTACTCTACTGATCTATATATGCCTATTCTTAAGCCAGTACCATACTGTTTTGATTAAAATGGCCTTGTAGTATATAGTATGATATCAGGTATTGTGATACTTTCACTTGTTCTTTTTCTCAAAATTGCTGAGCCTATTTAGATTCTTCTGTGGTTCCATATAAATTTTTGGAATAGTTGTTCTAGATCTGTGATGCAAGCCATTGTTATTTTAAATAAGAATTGCATAGAATCTATAGATTGCTTTGGGCACTATGGACATTTTAACTTTTTCCTATCCATGAACATGGTGTATGCTTTCACTTATTTGTATCTTCCTCAATTTATTTCTTCAGTGTTTTATAATTATCTGAGTACGAGTCTTTTAAATCCTTGGTAAAATTTATTCCTAGGTACTTTATTTATTTATTTTTTTGTTGAAATAGTAAGTGGAAATTTTTTTTTAAATTTCTTTTTCTAATAGTTTCATTACAGGTATACAAAAATGCCACCAATTTCTGCATATTAATTTGTAGCCTTCTACTTTACCAAATTTATTTATTAATTTTAGTTTTTTGGTTGAGACTTTAGGATTCTCTATATACAGTATCATATCATCTGCAAATAATGAGTTTTACTTATTCCTTTCCAATTTGGATGCCTTTTATTTCTTTTTCTTTTCTGATTGCTGTGGCTAGATATTTCATTACTATGTTTAATAAGAGTGGTGAAAGTTGACATCCGTGGCTTGTTCCTGATCTTAAGGGAAACACTTTTAGCTTTGCCCA